TAGGGCTTCCATCATGGCTGAGGACAAAACTAGAGGTACAGTGTACTTTTTCAAAATTTTAGCAAGGTGAGTCAAAAAACCACTTAGTCTACAGTATTAACTTTGAATAAATTTAATGGTCCAGTGTTGAGCAAATTAGCATACTCTTATATCTGTTTGCTTATCCGATTTTGGTCTGTGCACCCACCTTGGACAGTATTTTACTACAGCCTGAATCCAACAATAACAGTTTCAATTTTAATGTTTTTCAGTTCTTTGTGTTGTCAAATAAACAAGAAAAGGGTTTGGAAATGTGACTTCAAAAAAGTGTCCAATTTAAGACATTAGGGGAAGGTTTTTTATTTGGGACCTCTCACGGTGACACAACTCTCTTGAACCCACAACAGTTTTTTAACTACTGTAACCGAAACAGGGCTTTTATTTATGCTTAAATTTCTCCTGTTACTTTTGGTTTTTTCCTGGTTTTGGTGTGGTTGATAAGGTTATTCCTTGCGCCTCTTAGTAGGTGAAAAGGATTTATTTGCCATAATGGAAGGTGAAGCTCAGTTGATTGACCCTTTGGTAACTAATTCTTTTTCCCTTTTCTTTATCAATCAGGGAACGCTAGCTAAAATTGATGGAAGAGGGACCAGGACGGTACTCAATCATTTCTTTGAACAGAGGAATGACAAGAGTCGAGATCACCCCCTCATTTTATGGAGGCTTCCGGGGTTAACTTGGTTTAGGATACCAGCATTGTAGAGGTGTGGTTTACTTTTTTCTTGCCTGTCTTTATAAATAGTAAATAGTAAAAATGTATACCTGTCAGTCGCAGTATTATTGTGGATTATTGTGGTATTATTGGGGAAGTGTATTTCTAAATATTTTACACAATGATATTGTTAAAATCCTTTGCTTCCTTTTTTTAATGTATTTTTTCTTTCAGAATTGGATTGGAAATTATAAGAGGGCCTTCAAGGGTCCCTCTAACCCCAAGAAGCTAACATTTCTGACAAGAGATTTGTCGGCCTACAATCTCTTTTGTAGGGATGTTTTAAAGAAAAAGGGTAAGTAATTCTGTCAAAGCTTATAGATTAATTATTGTTCAGTGTAACACACACATATGTATATGTATATGTGTATATATATATATATATATACGTGTGTGTATGTGTGTGTGTGTATATACTGGTGAGTGCAACTAAAACGTAAGAAGTGTCTAAGTGACAATAACAACTGATAAACATGCTCAGAAGCATGATTTGGTGTTGCAAACATTCTGCAGTATTACTGGAGATAGTGGCTATATTTACTTACACTACTAGAGTAGTCCCACAGAAGCATGGCAATGCTTTTCCTCCATGCAACAACTAGTGTTAAGTTGCTCTATAACCAATGTTTTAATTCCTCCGATACTTCACCATTGTGATAACTATGAAACATAAAAAAATAAAGAACAAATGAACAAATAACAAAATCTGAAGATATGTTCTATTTGTGTTATTGTTCTTGTTAATGGTTGCTGCTTGCAAATAACTAAATTTAACTAAATAATCAAAATTTGATATGATTGCAAGAAAGTTTCATCAGACGCCTTCAGCAAAAGCATACAGATAACTTGTTAAGAGTGTTTTGCCCTCTAGTGGCCGAAAAGGTACACAGCAGTTATTTAGTGACAGGACTTAGTCTCAGGTCGCTTGCTTACTTGCATCCACGTTTCCATCACTTGCGTCTTTACCCACCAGGGATGCACGGAGAGACGCAAGGAAACGAGAAGAAGGAAAGAAGGAACGAGTAAATATGTTGTCAGTGAACTGAGAGTCCTTTCCTCTGAAGCGTCACGTGGAGCGACGTCCGTTTCTGATGACGGCGACAGTCGGCTTTAACAGCTGTGGACACTTTTGATGCCGTTTGTGTCGGCACTCATGTGGACTGTACTCATATGAATAAAGACACACAGTTATCAGTGGCAGAGCATCAGCCTGTTACCTGTTTAACAAACACCTGCACAGGAATAACAACCGCGAGGCACAGCAGCTCCACTGATCATTTAAACCACACACACACACACACACACACACACACCGACAGGATCTAATGTTAATTCATGTTCTGTGATATTTCACACTTCCAAAATCTCCCACGCACAGTCCAGGTTCAAACAGGGTAATCGTTCAGAGTAAAACAGCAGTCCTCTGGAGAGATTCTCTGTCAACTTCATAAGTTTAGCTGCTTGATGATATTTGCTGCAGTGACATTAGTGAGTGCTTAGAAATGGCTGAAAGCATCCTCTGTAATCATTATAGTAAATTAATCAAACACTCATAGGCTACATTAATACAACACAGAATAAATAAAGAAAAGCTCCCCAAAAAATAGCCACAGGAATCATTTCTACTGGCAGAATGTGTTTATATTATTTATGTATTTATTGTTATTGTGATACTGTGATAATGTTATATAGTATATATGACTGTGGTTTCTTCTCAACATTGGAACATATTTATAGGGTATATGTTTCAGGGAAAATTTAAATGATGTAACTCATATCAAACCCCACTCAGGAATTATCAATGTGACTGAATGGAAATGTTTACAAAACAACTGAACTCAAATAACAGACTTGGGATGTACCCATAGACACAAAAGTTAAATATTTATCAGTACTGAATCAACAAAAGATCAACTGCCTGGCACTACAAAAGATTAATTACTTTTCTTGTTCCTCCCAGCTTTTGAAATTAGAAGATGTTTGCTGGAAATCCACTGTTTGAAGACGATGACGACGTTGGATGTTTTTTTCTCTCTCTGCACAGATATAACATAAGATCTCCATGACGTCACCGGTTTTCTGAGGAACTCAAGCTCTGTGTGGCTTGCACTGACCGTCACCATCTTGGCAGTCCTGAATCCAGAAATTCACTCAAAAACTTAAAGCAGCCATGTCCTTAGTTATGCATAACTTTAAGCCTCAATATAATTTAAACAGTTGAGTTATATAAAAATTCTACCCCCATGCAGCTGTTATGAACAGGGAATTTAGCTAGAGAGACCAAAACTGTTTTTGTACCATGCTGTAGCCATGTTCATTTCTGCTGTAAAGTTGGACATTTTAATATGACGATTGACTCACGTCTGGAGTCAGCCTCAAGTGGATATTTGAGGAACTGCAACTTTTGTTAGTTCCAGTGTTGGCTTCATTTGTCATCCACGGATGCTGTTGCTTGATTGAGAGTGGGCATTTAAACCTGCACTAAAGTAAAGGCACATTATGCAGAATGGCCCCATTCAAAGTTAGAGTTTCACATATACAACTCAATATATGCTGAAGTTGACTAACATTTCTATTAGTAGTAACAGAGGTCAGCCACACTTCTATAACAATAGATAATTTCAGGACTTGACCATGATCACAAATCTTGTCGCATAGCTCAGTACTTGAGTCAAATGATCAACGAGCATTTACCCACTATCCCTAAAGGGGTTAATAGTTGTTTTATTGACCTTGTGCTGTTATGTGTGTAAATGATTGACTTCAGGAATTGACATGGAGCATGTGAATGTCTGGTCTCTTTTTTTTAAAGATGCAAATGTAACATTAAATCTTTTTCATTTACTTCAGTCTGACAGATTATTTTAAACAATGGCAAGTTTAACATTTTAGTTTTAGTAACCAAACAAACAAAATGCATTAAGTTTTCCAGAATAAGATGAAAAAACAACAACCTGACTTGAGTACCTGCCTTTAAAATAAAGACACAATAGTAAAGTGGTTTATTAATTTACTTATAATTATATTTAAAAGTCACATTCCTTCTGTGACAACTCAGATTAATATTCATCACATGTGAACTGTAGGGAGTGTATTACACACATTTTTCCTTGTGATATGCAAGTGTGCACTGTAAGCAATTGCTGTAAA